CCTTCTGTTCTTTGATTTTCTGCAGCTGCCTACAGAATCTTTGTTTTATCGAGCTGTTCTACAGGTTATTATAGAAGAATGTTATGGTGTCACCAAAAGGTATGAAACTCTGAGTTCAAAAAATAAGAGTCTTATTCTGCCTCCCATACTCTCAGAGTAATTGCTTAACATGAGAGGGGTGGCAGAATCAGCCCATAAGTTTTCTCCATGTAAGTTTGTATTATGATTTCAGTCTTTATATGCTCAGCACATTCTTTCACTCTAATTCCATATGCAGAGATCTTGTCCTTACTTCACCAAAGAGGGAACAGCTCTATCTTTACCACTGGAAACATACTAGAGGTGTACCTCCCCCACAGGAACCAAAGGAAAATGTGTTAATTTTAGATAACAGAGTCTGGAGATATACTGTTCTGCAGAACATCTTTAATGCTGGTTTAATGTCAACCACAGTCTGCACTTCTTTAATGCTAGTTTAATGTCATCCACCAGCTGAAAAGCATATCAGCATGTGCTGAGTAGAGCAGCATTGAGCCCAGGAAACAGCGTGGATGCCAGGAAAATGAGGCAATGTAGACGTGAATCTCCTTCAGGATTTCCGGAAAGATAAAGCTACAAATACAAATGGCTTCCTGATCATCATCTTCACAGAATCCCAATCTCTCAGTTTTTTTTCCCATGTTTAATATTATATACAGTGAAACTACACAAAAGGTCATGGGGTACTAGGTTGTAAAAGTAAAGGAGTGAGCTAGGCCCCAGGTTGTTTTATTTGTTAAAGCAAATATTGTAACTGAAGGAATTTAATAAAGATTGTATGTTTTAAATCACAGGTGCTGTAGGCCTAGTTTCAAGACACCACCATTTTCAGTGAAATAGCTGTTATTTTCCTTGTTGCTCTGAAGCCTCATGGGGACCAGATTAGCACTTTTAAGACATCAGATTCCATATGAATTCAAACAGCATTCAAACAAAACAGCTTAAGGGCCTTGTTACACATTGCACTTTGAGCTGCTCAGATGTTGATCTCTGTTAGTGCTAGTTCAAGTTTAGAGGAGTCACAGTTTAATGTTAAAAACCTTCTCTGACTGTCTCCCACCTGCACAGCTGTGACTTGCCACTAAAGAGCTGGCGAGCAGAGATCTGACCAGGAGCTACAGCTGCGAGTTTCCACCACAAGGCTGGTGAGTCAGGACAGGCTTCTATCCCTGCTGAAAGAGAGATGGGTTGCAGGGCTGAAGCAGAAATATGAAGCTAGGAGGTTGAGAGTTAATGGAATGAGGGTGGGTAATGAAATGGGAGGTATAAAGGAAATAGGAGTGGGGGAAGGGTGGTGAAATGAAGGAAGTCAGCCACTGAAGGATCAAATAAAATACATTTTTAAAAGAGTTTAAAAAGAAATAAAGAGGAAATAAAGAAGGTCTCATGTTTCAATAACATAAACAGAGAGCAGTGACTGTTATATATGCAGCTTATGTGTGGGACTGCCTTGAGGAGGCTTTTCTCTGTACTAGTGACTTGGGGTGGCTGATCGGTGCTAGAGTGTTTGCCTAGTGCCCAATGTATGTGTTTGGGGTTTCCCTCCCCACATGTGGTGTGTGATTGCTCTTCCTTCCTGCCTGCCTTCCTGCCTTCCTTCCTTCCTCTCTCTCTCTCCCTTTCTCTCTGAGGGCAGAAAACAGAAAGCAAGTTTGCCAAAGGACTTTGCTGTGGGAGGAAACCAGGGGACAGGAGATTCTATGCATAGACATGTGTATGTGGGGGTGGGAGCATGGGCCAGGGCCCTGGTGAGGGAGCTTGGCATACAGGTTCTTCCCCCTACCACTACCCTTTTTTTTTCTCCTTATAGTATAGTCATTCTCTAGAGAGCAAAGGATGCACAAATGGAGTCTGGGTTGGTTGTTGTGACCTTTGTAGGATGTGCCATGTTTTTGTTCTTCCCAGAGGGTCAGGAGCACATCATCTGCACCACCTATAATTTGGTGTCTGGCCTGGAGAAGAAGATGCAAAGATTGGAAGCACAGGTATCCAGGCTGCATTACATCCAGGACCAGGAAGATTACTTTGACAAGAGTTACAAGAGGCTGATACTGGAGAAGCCAAAGGGCAATGAGGAGAAGTGGCAGAATGTTACTACTCCAAGGACGGTCCTTAGAATTAAAGAGGAGCAGATTGAAGTCAGCAACCACTTTCAAGGTCTGTGCTGAGAAAGGGGCTGAGGAAGAGGACATTTGCAGATATGATGCAGAGGAAGCAGCAGCCTAGAGAGCAGGAAATGCAAGGCCCCAAGGTCAGGATCTCCAGGATGACCACACCAAGAAGGAAAAGAAGAGGGGTGGTGGCTAGGGACAGAGGCCTCAATTTGTCATCCAGGTTTGGGGGCCCAGAAGATGTGCTGTTTGCTTGGAGCCCAAATCCAAGATGTCAAAGACAGTCTACCAAAGCTCATCCATCCTTTGGACAAATACCCCTTCCTGCTCATCCATGCCGGCACCAGCGATACTGCCAGGAATGACACTAAGAAGATCAGAGGTGACTATGAGGCTCTTGGAAGGAGGATTAAGGAGCCTGAAGCACAAGTGGTGTTCTCATCGATTTTTCCATTGAAGGCAGGGGTCAAGGCAGAGACCTTTGTGTCCTGGAAGTGAATGCCATGAGATGGTGATGTCTTTGTGAAGGCTTCAGCTTCTTCAAAAATGGGTGGATGTTCTTGGACATAGGAGTGCTATCAAGAGATGGGATTCATCTGATGAGAACAAGGAAGAGCATCTTTGGGCATCATCTGGCCAACCTAGAAAGGAAGGCTTTAAACTAGGTTCCATGGGGGATAGTAATCAAAACCCTGCAGCAGCACAGTCCAGAGGGAAAAGGACTCAGAGAAGCAATTCAACTCTGGGACTGCAACAGTTGGAGTACTGCATCCAGTTCTGGGCGCTGCACTTCAAGAGGGATGAGAGGGTCCAGAGGAGGGCCACTTGCATGGTCAAGGGGCAGTGGGGCAGGCTGTATGAAGAGAGGCTAAAGGTCCTGAACCTATTCAGCCTCCACAAGAGAAGGCTGAGAGGGGATCTGGTGGCGGTTTACAAACTCACCAGGAGGGACCAGTGGGAATTGGGGGAGGCTCTGCACCACCCAGGGTTACTAGGAATAACGGCCACAAATTGTTAGAGAGAAGGTTCAGGCTGGACATCAGGAGGCATTACTTTACAGTTAGGGCTGCCAGGCTCTGGAATGGGCTCTCAAGTGAGGTGGTACTCTCTCCTACCTTGGGGGTCTTCAAGGCAGATATTTGACTGGGGTGATATGACCCCAGCATCCGTTCCTGCCCAGGGCAGGGGGTCAGACCTGATGATCTGTTTAGGTCCCTTCTGACCCTAAGCACTATGATACTATGATACAATGAACAAGTGGTGCAGAAGGGAAGTGAGGAGGTCAACATGCAAAATTAATCTGATGTATGTAACTGTGAGAAGTGGGAGAATAAACAAGATGAGCTAGAAGCTACAACCTGTGAAAAGAACTATGATCTGATTGGTATCACTGAGACCTGGTGGGACAGTTCTTATGTTTAGTCTCATCATCAAGGGTTATACTGTTTCGGAAGGACAGGGTTGGGAGAAAAGGTGGTGGTGTTGCCTTGTTTATCAAAAACATATACACTTGTTCCCTGGTGCAGGAACAAGAAGACAGCTAAGCAGAATGCATTTGGGTGAACATGAGAGATGTGGCACCAACATAGTGGTAGGAATTTATTATAGGCCCCCTAATCAGGAAGAGGGGGTAGATGAGGCACTTGTTATGTGAGTGACAAATCTGTCCAAAAGCTATGGAATGGTACTCTTGGAAGACTTCAGTTTTATGGGCTTCTGCTGGAAGAACGATGCAGCCAAACACAAAATGTCATGCCAGTTCCTAACTTGTATGAAGGACAATTTTCTGTTCCAGAAAGTAGAGGATACAATAGGGGAAGATCTGTCTTGGAGGATCTTGTCCTGACCAACAGGGAAGAACTGGTGGGGGACATTAAAGTGATGGGTAGCTTGGGAGGAAGTAATCACAGTGTGATAGAATTCCAAATCCTGAGGCAGGGAAAGCATGAGTTCAGCAAAATTAGTAAACCAGATTTCAAAAAGTAGATCTCCTCCAACTCAAGGCTTGGTGTCATGGACGGATAGATTGATGAATAAAGGCACCCAGTAGGGCTTGGAGCTTCTAAGGGGCACAGTATTAGAAACCCAACAAGAAACTGTGCTCACACAATGGAAGCATGAGAAGAATTGTAAGAGACCAAGAACAAGGAGCTTCTAAAATGCATCAAATGCAAAAGGAAAGTATACAGGCAGTGGAAGAATGGGCAGTTCACCAAGGATGCATATCAGGAAATAACAAGAACCTGCAGGGACAAAATTAGGAAGGCAGAGATAAAGAATGAGCTGCACCTGTCAAAGGAGGTTAAGGACAACAAGAGGTTCTTTAAGTATGTTAGCCAAAAAAGAAGGACTAAGAAAGCTGTGGGTCCTCTGTTAGCAAGCCAAGGGGAACTCCTAACCAAAGTTGTAAAGAAGGCAGAACTACTCAACAGCTACTTTGCCTCAGTGTTCACAAAAAAATTAAGCTGCAGCCAAACATGCAATAAAGATTATCTGGATAAGGAAGGGGACAAGCTGAGGGAGGAGACAACAAAAGAAACTGTCAGAAAGCGGTGTTGGGTATGAATGAATTCAAGTCAGCAAGGCTGGATAAGCTTCATCCCAGGGTCCTGAAGGAACTGGCAGAGATTTTGGAGCCCTTGGCAATGATCTTCACAGAGTTTGGGGAGATGGGCCAGGTACCAGAGGACTGGAAAAGGGACAATGTAGTGCTCCTCTTTAAAACAAGCAAGGAAGAGGATCTGGGGAAATACAGACCCGTTAGCCTCACCTTAGCATCTGGGAAGTGAGTGAAGCATATCCTAAGGAAGGTCATTTGCAAGCATCTGGAGGAGGAAAGGCTGATCACAAGCAGCCAGCATGGATGGATAAAAAGCAAATTGTGTCGAACAAACTTGATCTTCTTTGACAAAGTAACTATTTGGGTGGATGAAGGGAACGTTGTGGATATAGTGTATCTTGGACTTTAGCAAGACTTGTGACAAGGACCCACATGATAGACAAGTTGGAGAAATGTGGGCTAGGTAAAACGACTGTAAGGTGGATAGCCTTACGGCTCAATAGCTGCAAGCAAAGGGTAGTTATTAATCAGTTGATGATAGAATGGCAGGAGATTTCAAGCGTCTGTGCCCAGTGCTGTTCAACATGTTTATTAACAATTTGGATGGTAGCCTAGAAAGCTTCTTGAGCAAGTTTTCAGACAGCATAAAACTGGGAAGAATTGCTGGCTTCTCTATGATTCATACATACTTCAACAGATTGTAAAGTTGGGCTAGAGCTAGCAGGATGAAGTTCAATGCAAACATATGCAAGGTGCTACACCTCTGGAGGAATAATCAAGAACACAGATATAAAATGGGTGATACCTGGCTGGATGTCGGCACTATGGAAAAGGACTTGGGAGTCTTGGTAGACCGCAGACTCAATATGAGTCTGCAGTGTGATGCAGTCACACAAAAGGTGAGTGTAGTTTTGGGATTCATCAATAGAGGCATTAGATGCAAGAAATGGGACGTGATAGTGCCTCTGTACCTGGCATTGGTTAGGCCGCATCTGGAGTATCATGTGCATTTCTATATTTTAAAAAGGATGTCGAGAACTTAGTCCAGAGGTGGGCAACAAAGATGATCAAGGACTTGAAATGCAAATCATATGAGGAAAGGCTGACAGAGGTAGGCATGTTCAGTTTATCAAAATGGCATTTAAGAGGGGACATGATAGCAGTCCTAAAATACTGGAAGAGCTGCCATAAAGAAGAGGAAAAGCACCGTTTATCTCCTGCTGCAGAGAGAAGGATGCAGACCAATGCCTTGAAGTTGCAGCAAAGTAAGTTTAGATTGGATGTCTGGAAAAACGTCTTCACTGTTAGAACAGTGAGGCAGTGGAATAGACTGCCTGGGGAAGTTGTGGACTCTGTAACTGGAGGTGTTCAAGAAGAACTTGGAGAGCCA